CTTATTTATTTTCATTTTGGATGATCTGTCCATTGGTGACAGTGGGGTGTTAAAGTCTCCTACTATGATTGTGTTACTGTCGATTTCCCCTTTTACGGCTGTTAAAATTTGCCTTATGTATTGAGGTGCTCCTATGTTGGGTGCATAAATATTCACAATTGCTATCTTCTTCTTGGATTGATCCTTTGATCATTATGAAGAGTCACGTACCACAATGTTCACTGCAGCTCTATTTACAATAGCCAGGACATGGAAGCAACCTAAGTGTCCATGGACAGATGAATGGAAAGAAGATGTGGCACATGTATACAATGGAATATTACTCAGTCATAAAAAGAAATGAAATTGAGGTATTTGTAGTGAGGTGGATGGACCCAGAGTCTGTCATACAGAGTGAAGTAAGTCAGAAAGAGAAAAACAAATACCGTATGCTAACACATATATATGGAATCTAAAAAAAAGGTCATGAAGAAGCTACGGGAAAAATGGGAATAAAGACACAGACTTACTAGAGAATGGACTTGAGGACATGGGGAGGGGGAAGGGTAATCTGGGACAAGTGAGAGAGTGGCATGGACATATATACACTACCAAATGTAAACTAGATAGCTAGTGGGAAGCAGCCGCATAGCACAGGGAGATCAGCTTGGTGCTTTGTGACCACCTAGAGGGGTGGGATAGGGAGGGTGGGAGAGAGACGCAAGAGGGAGGAGATATGGGGATATATATATATGTATAGCTGATTCACTCTGTTATACAGCAGAAACTAACACATCATTATAAACCAATTATACTCCAATAAAGATGTTAAAAAAGCTTTACAATATGGTGAAGACTGTAACTTAATATGTCTAAATCTACACCAGAAAATCCAAATGAAACATTGTCATAGTTACAGGTACAGTCACTTGGTGCCACTTTATGCACTGGATTACAATTATGTACCCCCTCAGATGTAACCTCCATTAGGGCAGAGCCCATATCTATACTGCTTACAACTGTATTCCCAGTGTCTAGTGCATACCAGGTACCCGAGACTGTTCTTTCTTAGTTATAAAAAATATTCCTATTTTAAAATATATTCCTTCTTTCTTTAATATCAGATAAAAATATACTTTGTAGATTTTTCCATTGTATATTTTACAATATGGCAAAAATATATCATTACTAACGCTTGAAGCAGTTATGCACTAAGAAAGAAGATATAATTTTAGCTATTATTGTACTTATATGCTAAATTTACCCATTCAATCTTGAAAATGAGAAAAATTTTAATAGTGTACAATTCACTTTCTGTGAGCTATCTTTTATTGGTCTCTAGCTCTAGCCCTTCAACTTGAAATGAGAAACATTCACACTTGGACCAATATCCATCTTATAATTTCAAACGGCACATTTTCCAGTTGAAAATTCCCATGTTTAAAAGCAGTTGTTTTATTCCCCCAAAACTGAGCGTTCTCATTTGCTCACAATAAAATATCCTTAATTGAAATGAGAATATCTTTACTCTTCAGTGACCTAAAAATGACGTATCTTCAATCATGATGCAATGAAAACAATTTTCTTAAACTAACAATACAAAAATTAAGAACAACATGTTCTTGAAGATCCAAAAGTATTCAAACCACCATGCCAGGAAAATGCTGGCTTTACAAAATTAACTTAATATTCAAATATTTTATCATTCTTATCTCACGAATATTTACAAAGTCACGAAATATAGTACAGATTTTCAGAACTGTCTTTCCCAAGAAGATATAATGTGAATATGATATAACATATTGGGGAATTTTTAAAGTTTTGTTTAAATGGTTAGTGAGTATTCTCCTCCACCTACCTTTTCCACTCTGGGCTGCAACCTAGTTTTACAGGTTTTAATAGTGTTTCCAAATTCCCAACAGATATTAAATTTGGGGGATTTGGAAATGAGAACGTGGGATTCCTGAAAACATAAGTTATTCCTAAAATACTTCCAATATTCTTCATATTCTTTACTCATTAGTATGAGTAATTAAAAATTGTTTAATAAGAAATATCATTTCAAGTAATACAGGCATACCCCGTTTTATTGTACTTTGCTTTACTGCTTTTTGCAGATATTGCATTTTTTATAATAGAATGTTTGTGGCAACCCCGAGTCAAAAGCAAGTCCATCAGCACTGTTTTTCCAACAGCATTTGCTCACTTTGTGTCTCTGTGTCACATTTTGCTATTTCCACCAGTGAAAAGATTACAACTTGATGAAGGCTCAGATGATGGTTAGAATTTTTTAGCAATAAAATATTTTTTAATTAAGGTATGTACACTGTATTTTAGACATAATGCTATTGCATGCTTAACAGACTACAGTACAGTGTAAATATAACTTTTATGTGTACTGGGAAATCAAAAAATTCATGTGACTTGCTTTATTGCAATATTCGCTTTACTGTGGTGGTCTGGAACTAAACCCGCAATATCTCTGAGGTGTGCCTGTATTTATGAAGAACTTTAGCCTACAAAGAATATTAAAACACTGGAAACTGCCAGCAAACATTACTAGGTACTATTTCTAATAACCTAACATTTGGGTCTCTTACCATGCTAACAGCACTACAAAGAACTACAAATTAAGATTACCAGTTTATGATCTTATTTTGCTTCTAAGTTATCCCTTGAAACACCATTAATATACTTTATATATAAAGTGAATAATATTTATTATATTTACATTGTTATGTACCTTGTAAACAGCAGATAGGGCCACAAAACACGTAACACGGCTACAGCTACAAAGAAGACCGACTAACTGAAGGGTGACTGCCCTCCTCCTCCTTTTTTATATGAATATGCATGGCACTGTCACCTATTCATTCTTATTTAAATGCTCCTTCTCCATGAAATGTGCTTCCCTGTCATACCTACTCTTTTTTGAGGCCTCTCTTCCCTTTTAATTAAACCCTTTCCTCTTCCATACCCTATGCAGCAACCCCACTGCCTCCTAGGCCACTTACCAGACCACTGTATTGACCTGATTTTACGTAAAACACCCCCAATCTTCACCTATGTTACAAGTTTTAAGAAGAAGGTTCATGTTTAAACCTTTTCACATCTTCAGAGCTTAAAGCAGTGCTCTGAGTAGACCAGAGGTATTTGGTGACTGTTATTACGGTAGGCAGCATGTATGCAGTCTGTTCCTTTATACAGCTCTATACTTCCCAGAGCTTTTACAGTGGGCTACTAATACTTGGAAAACATCAAAGGGTTTCATTAAAGAGAGTCATAAAATTTAACGTCAAAAAAAACCAAACAACCCAATTAAAAAATGGGCAGAGGACCTGAACAGACATTTTTCCAAAGAAGACATACAGATGGTTAACAGGCATATGAAAAGATGCTCAACATCACTAATCATCAGGGAAATGTAAATCAAAATTACAAGGAGATATCACCTCACACCTGTCAGAACGGCTATTATCAAAAAGACAACAAATAACAAGTGCTGATGAGGATGTAGAGAAAAGGGAACCCTCATGCACTACTGGTGGAAATGTAAATTGGTATAGCCACTATGGAAAACACTATGGAGGTTCCTCAAAAAATTGAAAATAGAACCACCATACAATCTAGCAATTCCACTTCTAAGTATTTTTCCAAAGAAAAACATCAATTCAAAAAGAGACACGCACCTGCTATGTTCACTGCAGCATTATGTACAATAGCCAAGATATGAAAGCAACCTAAGTGCCCATCAATAGATGAATGGATAAAGAAGACAGGTGTGTATGTATGTGTGTGTGTGTACACACATACGTACACACACTGGAATATTACTCAGCCATAAAAAAGAATTAGGGCTTCCCTGGTGGCGCAGTGGTTGAGAGTCCGCCTGCCGATGCAGGGGACACGGGTTCGTGCCCTGGTCTGGAAAGATCCCACATGCCGCGGAGCGGCTGGGCCCGTGAGCCATGGCTGCTGAGCCTGTGCGTCCGGAGCCTGTGCTCCGCAACGGGAGAGGCCACAGCAGTGAGAGGCCCGTGTAGCGCAAAAGAAAAATAAATAAATAAATAAAAAATAAATTAAAATAAATTAAAATTTTAAAAAATATAATAAAGTTAGGCCTGGAAATTAAAATAATAATAATATTGTAATAGCTTTATATGGTGACACATAATTACTAGACTTCTTGCTGTGATCATTTTGTAATGTACAGAAATGTCGAATCACCATATTGTATACCCAAAACCAACACAGTGTTGCAGGTCAATTAACTTCAATAATAAAAAATACAATAAAATAAAAATAAAGAGTCATAAATGGTAAGACCTTTTGTTAAAAGGGAAATTCTGAAATATACTTAAATCTGAAAATAATACAATGAATTACAAAGTAAGAACAGTGGAGACTGTAGTTCTCATTACAGAAAGCTTCATTTCTGCGGCAGCAAACAGATTTCCTTAATTAACCCATTCAAACCCTTTCAAAACTCCATATTCTGTGCTCTGAGACAAAAATCATATTAAAGATTCATTTTCCCATAATAAAAACCTTACAAACATTTGCAAATATTGTGCTACGGAAAATATCTTACTACTTACACCGAGCTCCAGTTTTTCTGGAGTGTGACTGTGTCCAAAGGAAACAAAGCTACAACTGAATGGGGGGAGAAGGAATGGAGGGGGGAGAGGGTGACGATGCACCTCAAGAAGGTAGATTTCTTAATGGGTACTACTGTACTATCCCAAGTAAGCAGGGCCCTACTGAAGTTCTAGAATAGCTGGGATATATTCAGTGAACTCCTACAGATTAACCTATATTAAACAAATATTAAGTGCCTATTTTGTCAGGCACTGTTTTAGGCAATGAAGAAGCTAGATTCTATGAAAAGTTTAAGACATTTAAAAATAATTCATGATTTACATAAAAATGTACAAGCATGTTAAACTAATGTGATTAGAAACTACAAAAGCACTAATTTTCATAACTTGACTCTACAGCAAACGTGTGAAAATCAACTTTACCTTATATTTCATCTTGGGACATGAATGAATGTAGAAACCCATATAGTAATAGCTGAGTTGAGGTGTTTTCTCATGAAGCTGCCTAGTAAAAGCAATTTCTCTGCCAAAAGAAGAATAAAGATCAAGGTACAGTTAAATTTAGTTCCAAAATTCAAAGTTCTGTACAATTTGGTAACACATATTTGATAAAATCTGACATTAAGCTATCAAAATAAAAATCCAAGTGTTGAAAGAAAAACAATTTTAAAAACACTTTCAGATGACTTTTACTAAAGAGACACCAAAGAAAAGTATATTATTTTAGCAAATGCACCAAAGTTCTGGTTTTACTCTTTATTGGGCATAGCAGTGTATCTCAAATTCAAAGAGCATAAAAGTACAAAGATCTATTTAATACAATTCCTTATTATTCATTATCACCTGGAGTTCGCAAAGACTGGATTTATCAGGTTAAAAACAGGACAACAAATTTTAGAAAGCTCAAAAACCAACAAATTTCAGGAAGAATACTACTATGACCATTTACATGCAAACACTTTCAACTATATATGACATATTACTCTCTATGTCCAGATGCTACTTTAATATTTATTTTCTCTAAAACTAAAGAGGGGGGAAAAAACCGTGCTATCTCACTGCCTTTTCTCTATTTGTTGGCACAGGCAAGGATTAACTGAAAAAAGAAGCTGTCAGCAATGCCTATGCTCGACGTGGTTTTAATTTGCATCCGGATAAATCTGGGCACAGAATTTCATCCTACTTGTCCAACTGAATGACCACCTGTGTTCGAGAGCTTTAAGCAAAGCTTCGGTACATTTCTAAAGTATGAGAAAAACTGTTTTGTTTTTATGTTTGTTTCTTGAAGGTTTTAATTTCCTTTTCTTTTTCTTTGTTTTTAGTAGCAATGGATGCTTGAAATCCAAGGAGAGATTTATTTTTTAAGGGAACAGTCTGTGCATTTTGCAAGTTCAAATTTAAAGCATTGAAGGGTCGTTACCCTAAAAATTCATCTTTACAACAAAAGTATTTCTAAATCCAAACAGATTGAACATTATTAGGCTAAAACAGAATAGATCCTATTATCCTCAGAACTAACCCGCTCTTAAGGTTCAAACTGAGGAAGAACGCAATGATACAGCAAGCAATGCAGGACCACCCAGCTCTGACGAGGACGGCAATACCCACTGGCCCTCCTACTCGGCCCTGCTCATCTCAGCTAACTGCAGCACCACTCCACCACCAGCACCACTCCAAGCCCCAAGCCTATGATCCATACTTAATTGTTCTCTCCATCTCACCCCTGTGTCCAACCCACCAACAAGTCCAGTTGGTTCTATCTCCAAAATATACCATGAATCTGACCATTTTTCACCACCTCCACCTCAGGTATTTTGGTCCAAGCCACCATTAGGCCTCCCTAGACGACTCTAACAGCCTCCCAAATAGATTTCCAGTTTCCACTCTGGCCCCTCCATAACCTCTCAGAGCAGTCTAAGTAGTCTTTTACGATATTAATCAGGTGAGGAAACCTCTCCAAACCCTTCACCCTCACACTGGGTTGGTATCACACTTAGATAAAATCCAATCTCCTGACCATTACCTATAAGCCCTTCTCCATCTGTCCCCTCATCAACACCACCTGCCTTGCTGCCATCCTTGCACAGCACTGCCTAGGTCCTACCCCATTTCCTAGCCCATAAGGCCTTCCTTCTCTTCATTCCAACGACCTCAGGGCACTTGGACTTGCTACCTTTGACCTGGACGTCTATCCTCAGATTCTTACATAGCTGGCTCCTGTTCTTCTTTCTTGGCTTTTCAGAGGTCTTTCCTAACCACCCTATATAAAAAGGGCCTCATGCCTACTACCATAATTTCATTTTTGTCACAGCACAACAGAGTCTCTAAAATTGTGTTGTCAGTTTTCTAATTTACTGTCTGCTTTGACAAGGCTGGAAACCCTGTCTTACGCACATCTACAAATAGTTCCAGGACATACAGACTATGCTCAAATAAACATCTGTTAAGCAAATTAATTACATTTCTAAAATTCATCTTGCTAAAAAAACAAAAAAAAAGAAAGGAAATAAATTCCATGCTCATGCTCCCCAATTCAAACATTTTTAAAATCTGTAGACTAGATTACATAAAAATCTAGTAATCTGTAATCTTGACTACAGATTAAAATATAAAAACTCTTTTTTGATTCTACGATTGCTTAAGAAACTGAAGAAATGGAGGAAAAATTTAACAGGCTTCACTGAAATACATTAAAATCAGGAATGGAACTGGCAACTTGTAACCTACTCTCCCCAATTTTGCTTCATAATGTCAGTCTCCTGGCTGCCTTTCCTCTTCTATAAACTCAGCAATTCAGATTCTCAAGAGCACGGAAACAGATGCGGTGCCAATCTCCTCACTCTCCACTGACCCCAACTTTCATGCTCTCAGGCTCCTCTACTACCTCCTCAAAGCCCTCCAGCTCCAGAACTTTCAAGAGATATACCAAGCAACAAATAGATTGCTGGGAACAAATTTTGTTGGGAATTATTTGCTATCTCAAATGCAGTGGGATTTCTGTATCTCTTTGTTTATTGAAAAATGAAATATTTCATACAGAGGCTGGGATTTATTATCTAAGAATAAATATCATTCTTAACATTTATCTGAGAAATCTAGACAAATCCATGCCTACACATTGTAAAGTGAGAGATACATAAATAAAAGAAGAAAATGGTAATAATTTCAAAGTACTGACTGATTCTGATACAAAGAACAAGTATCTTTTCTGAAATACACACTTCTAAAGTTACAAAATGTGAATGCTTTAAATTATCAGTTCTAATTTCACAAAGAGTTAAAAGATACTACAAAGAATCATGGATGTTTTTTAATTAGTTTATACAAAATGTAATTAAATACATAAGAAAAATAAAAGATTATTATAAGGATCAGTCGTAAACATTGTATATTTTTTAATTTGCTATGTAACTTGGCATTAAGATAGGTAATGTTGAAAATATCAATATTGTGTGCCACTGAAAAACACAAAAATATCAATTATGGGCCATATTTTTTTTTTAATCAACTAGTGATTTAAAAAAAATCAACTCTCCTACTTTTATAATTCAGAGAAAAGCACACACACAGTAAATAAAATAATCTCAAAGTATATTTTATCAAGATGTGAAAAACGTGACCATCAGAGACAAAGAATGGGAAAAGCAAAGAGAAAAAGTGATAAAGAGGGAGAAAAAAGAGACTCAAGCTCCCAAACAACATAAAAATAATTCTCAACGCTCCTTCCTCCTCTACCACATGTATATGCAGACAAGCAGCAATAAAAATAAAAACAAATATTTTCATGAAACAAGACCGCACTATTTTCATTATTAGGATAATGCACCTAAAAATATCTGTGCTGTGTTGCATATATTTGCAGCCATGGACATAAAAAGGAAATCATCTTTCAATGAGGTCATAGAGTCAAGTGGACAGTCAGGGACTCTCTGGTCCTGTTCTATATACTTTATATAACTGTATATTTCTTCCAACAGACTGCCATTGCTTTAATTCGTTTACACCAGATTCACGTAACCTTTAATTAATTATAAAAATACATATACAATAGTAATGACAAGAGAAAATATATAAATAATGTAACATTTTAAAAAAACATTATGTGGCTCTGACAGGGGAGCTTAAATAAATGTATAAACTAAACAACGAAAGTATCACAGTGACTTCTCATACATTAGACCAGATGGATACCTTAAAAAGCTAGGGAATTACCATAAGACACTGTGGCCTCAGTTCTAAAAGTGGTATTTCTAAATATCAATATATAAGAGACTACTAGAGCAACAAATTATTATGTACTATCCAATGGGATTTCTACTGTTTATAATAAAATATAATCAAATGAAGAATTATTTGAAATTGTATATGACCATTACAATTGTCAAAAGCAATCTTACCGGAGTGCAGAGTAGACACCCAAAGACAGAAACGAATAATCAGGATCGTAGTACAAATATACAGACGAGACACAGTATGGAAGGACGTCAATCACCCCCACAGCAATGATCTTTCCATCAAGCCAATACTGCTGGTGAAAGGAACCATAACCACAATCTGGTCCATAAGGGGGATTCTCTGCCTGAGAAAAGGTAGACACACAAACACGAACAGTTTGTCATTTTTCTCTTTATATTAAAAATCTTAATAATTAACCTCTTTTACTTGTATTTTACTCAGGTTAGTAAGTCCTAAGGTTTCCTTTGTTGCCATCATCTTCCGACTCTCAGAAGAGTCATACCCTGCAAAACTTTTTAGGTGTAGAAACGCTGAAGGAACAAAAGAATAGAGAAAAACCAACTTAAGATTTTTTTCAACTTGTTTTAAAATGTGCCATAGGAAATATAAAATCTACAGGATAAGTAAGCACTGTTAAACTCTGTTCTTCTGTTCCACACCAAAGTTGGGAAAGAAATGGTAAATGATAGAAAGACGGGGAACATAAAGGCAAGGGTTGAGTGCGAACAGGAGAACTACCCCTACGCTGCCAGCCAGGCCTGATCTGTGGCCACCCCTGCACTCGTAAGGCATATGAGCTCATAATTTTTTCTAGGTAAGAGTTCCTGTGTAAGTGAGTGCTATGACATTTCTCTCTGTTAGCCAAAGGAAAGTAAAAGTTATTTCCTATCATTATTTTAATATACCTATAATCCCACAGAAGAAAATCCCACAAATTTTTGCTACAGGTATCTAGAGATTTCAGAGTGTAACCGTTTTCTGTAAATAGTTAATTGAATGATATTTCTCATTTTAAAGTTCAACATGAATTTAAATGAAACTGTTATTAAAAGAAAACCTTATAATGAAAATTATGAAGCACCATAAAAAATGCTTTGCTAGAGACTGAATGAATGTTAGAGATGAACAATTTAAGTGAACAAATACAACAAAACTTGTGTATCATGTTCACACACTTAAAGTCACAGAGAGTGTGTATGGGAAAAAAAAGCTAGAAGGAAATAAAGGAAAATGAAAAAGCAGGTTTGCTAATACTAAAACCAGAAAAAGACATTAGAAGACAGGAAATCTACAGAACAATCTCTCATGAACATAGATGCAAAAATCCTCACCAAGATACTACGAAATCAAATCCAACAATGTATGAAAAGAATTATACACCAGGACAAAGCAGGACTAACTCCAGGTAAGCAAGGCTAGTTCAACATTAGAGAAGTGATTAAAAAAAGAAAAGCAATTAATGTAATCTAACCATGAAAAGAGGCTAAAAGAAAAATCGTATGATCATATCAATTGATAGAGAAAACACATTTGACAAAATCCAACACCCATTCATGACTAAAAGCTCTCAGCAAATTAGGAATAGAGGGAAACTTCATCAACATCATAAAGAACATATACAAAAAAATCTACAACTGACATCAGACTTAATGGTAAGAAACTGGATAATCGCCCCCTAAAATTGGGAACAAGGCAATGATATCCTCTCATCACTCCTATTCAATATCATACTGGAAATCCTAGTTACTGAAAAGGAAGTAATACATACAGATTGGGAAGGAAAAAAATAAAATTGTCTTTGTTCACAAATGACATGACATACTATGCAGAGAATTCCAAAGAATCAACAACAAAAATTGAAACTAATAAGCAATTACAAGAAGGTTATAGGGTACAAGGTTGATATACAAGTCAATTGCTTCCCTATATACTAGCAATGACTGGAATTTGAAATTAAAAACACAATACTATTTACAAAACCACCAAAAAAATTATACACCTAAGTATAAATCTAAGAAAAGATGAATACATACAGAATCCATATGCCAAAAAAACCTACAAAACTATGACAACTGGAATCAAAATGTAAACAAATGGAAAATATTATACGTTCATTTCGATTGAGATGTCCACTCTTCCCAAGTAGGTCTCCAGATTTAATTCAATCTCAATCAAAATCCCAGCCACTTATTTTGTGAATATTGACAAGTTAATTCTAATGTTTACATGGAAAGGAAAAAGAGCCAGAATACCAACACAATACTGAAGAAGAACAAAGTTGAAGGACTGACACCACTTGATATCCAGACTTACTATAAAGCTACAATAATTGAGGTAGTGTGATATTGGTGAACGAACAAATTAAACAGCAGAACAGAAAATAGAACCCAGAAATAAACCCACATAAATACAGTCAACTGGCCTTTGACAAAGAAGCAAAGATAATCCAAGAGAGAAAGGACAGTCTACACAACAAATGGTGCTGTAACAACTGGACATCCAAATACAAAAACAGCAATATCTAGTCACAGACCTTACCTCTTTCAAAAAAATTAACTAAAAATGGATCATAGACTATGTAAAATGCAAAACTATGAAACTTCTAGGTGATAAACAGGCAAAGATCTAGGTGACCTGGGGTTTGGCAATGAATTTTAAGATACAACACCAAAAAGGACAATCCATGAAAGAAACAACTGACAAGCTGGACATCATTAAAATTGAAAACCTCGATTCTGTGAAATGCACTGTCATGAGAATAAAAAGTCAAGCCACTGACTGGAGAAAATCTTGCAAAACATATCTCATAAGGAACTGGTATTCAAAAACATACACTCTTAAATTTCAACAATGAGAAGACAAACAACTCAATTAAAAACCAAAATATCTAAGGAGATGCTTTACCAAAGAAGATGTGCAGATGGCAAATAAGCATATAAGATGCTCAAAAGAATAAATAGATAAAGATGCCCAACATCATTTGTTGTTAGGAAACTGAAATTTAAAAAACAATGAGAGGGCTTCCCTGGTGGCACAGTGGTTAAGAATCCACCTGCCAATGAAGGGGACACAGGTTCGAGCCCTGGTCCAGGAAGATTCCCACATGCCGCGGAGCAACTAAGCCCGTGTGCCACAACTACTGAAGCCTGCACGTCTAGAGCCTGTGCTCCGCGACAAGAGAAGCCACCGCAATGAGAAGCCCACACACCACAACAAAGAGTAGCCCCCGCTCGCCACAACTAGAGAAAGCCCGCGTGCGGCAACAAAGACCCAACACAGCCAAAAATAAATACATAAATAAATAAATTTATAAAAAAAATAAAAACCAATGAGAGTACTATATAACTATTAGAATGGCTGAAATCCAATAACCTGTATATCGAATGTTGATGAGGATGCAGAACAACAGGAATTCTCATTCACTGATGATGGAAATGTAAAATGGTACAGACCCTTTGGTAGAGGCATAAGCTACCAAGCCAAACTCACACACAAAATGGAGAAACCTTAAATACATATTGCTAAGTGAATGAAATCAGTGTGAAAGTGCTACAGAGACTGTATGACTCCAGTTACATTCTATAAAAGGCAAAGCTACTGAGACAGTAAAAAGATCAGTGGTTGCCAAGAATTTCGGGGTTTGGGAGGAGGATGAATAGATGAAGCACAAGGGACTTATAGGATGAAACTGTTCTGTATAATACTGTAGTAGTGCATACATGACATTATGCACTTGTCAAAACTCACAGAATTTTACAACACAAAGAGTGAGCTTTAATATATGCAAAGTGAAAGAAAATTAGGAGGGTAAGGGATCCCAAGAAGGAATGCAGATGGTGACAAGAGAATCTACCTGTATACACATGAAAACATCTTACTGAAAGAGGCTGGGGAGGGGAAATGTGCTGACCTAAGAAACTCTGGGGGTCTATAAGAATGAAGGCAAAAGGAAATCTGCACATAAGCATTGTATTCTACCTGATAGAGTTGTTTACCACGAGAACCAAAGGTTAACAATTCTGATACTGATATACATGTATACTGGAACTGAACAACTAAGTAAACGGACAGCGGATGGTAGGAACCAAGAGACTCATTACTGGAATGGAAATTTACAGATAAGCAAGGGGAAGAGGCTAGAATGATCCATGGGGCAATGGATTAGAGCTGGAGACCTGAGTACGAACTCATGTTTAGCTTAATATAGACACAGATGGTTACATAAAGAAATATTTATAGGTATGCATATACCATAGATATATTCATACAAGCGTTAGTATATGCACATTTATTTCTTTGCTTTGTCAGATAAGAAGACCTAAAAAAACAACAACCCAGTAGCAACAAACATACCTAACACACAAATCTTGGTTTCTAACATCATTCTGCCATAAAAAGAACCAGGGCTGCTTGGAGAAAGGGCTGATTCCAGGGCTGGAGCAGGAAATATACAAGATAAGCCTAGAGCACCTCATAGTGCCAGAAAATAAGGAAGTGCACAAAAAAACAAAAACAGAAAGCAAACTCACACTGCTGGAGGTATATCAAAGGGGCACAGGAGTCAACCAAAAGAGCTCCCAATGGCAAAAGCTGGAACAATTTGAGCAACAAAATAAAGTAGTATTGGATTATAACCCAAAATACAAAATAAATGTCCATGAGTCCATACTGATATAAATAATTGGATAAACGAATAAATGAGGCAGAAGAGACAAATCTCCCATGCAGAATTCCAAAAAGTTTATGCAGATACTCTGCCTAAAGGTAGGGAAGCATAATTCCCCACTACTTAAGTGTGAGCTGCACAGTGACTTCTTTCCCAAAAATACGGTGTGGGAAAGCGGGGGGAAAAGTACCTGCGTGGGTGATCCAGGTAAACAATAACAAACAAGAGAAAATTTACTAAGGCGCTAGCAGCATCAGTGATTTCTAAAACTTCCACTGCTGTAGTTAAAATGGTGCTTGGGTAGTAAATACATCTTTAACCTTTTAAGAGCTTCCACTAACTACTAATATAATAATAAACTATGTCAAACCCTGGGTTTAGCATTCACTGTCACATATAGCACTGCTCTTTAAAAAATCATTACTGTTTCTCTAGAAACACATACAGTTTGAAGAGCAGAACAGATAACCAAACAGAAGCATTACCCAAAAGGAAAATAGAAAGGATATTAACCTGCTGAATCTACAACACCTGAATTAATCTAAATTCTTCCATGATTTCAGTTTAGTGTGTCATTCTAGGACTCATTAAATCAAATGAGTGTATTCGTTCATTCATTTAAAATGTATTTATTGAGGACATAGTAAGTATGGACTCAATAAGCATATTCTCAATAA